GATAATTGTCTCAAATACGTAGTGAAACATTCCCAGGAATTCTATTAAGCAATGATTCTGAGGTTCTGTTAAGAAGGACAAAAACTTCTGTATAGCCTACTTGGTCATTTACATGCAGTTCAGAATGCTGCTGCCATTTTATTTACAATAAAAAATGCCATCTATTTTTTATTGTAAGGGAAAATTTTACTGTCTTTGCCAAAAGTATTGAAGAAGAATTAATTTAATAATTTAAATAGATTTACAAATAGGTGACCTCTACTAGACTAGAAGGTGGTTTTCAGATTTCCAAGTATCCTGAAAAGCAGACTTTATGTCCCAGGCTATATGTCTACTGTCCTGGCCATGCTAATGTAGGATATAAATGCCTGGGAGTTAAAATAAACTAATCATCATTCCCATCTTCATCATCATCATCACCAACTACCCTGTACCTACCACATTTCAAAGTCTGTGCAATTGCTTCACATCTGTTATTATTTATCTTAACAGCAACCTCTATATAGGTACTATTATTCACATTTTAGAAAAACAAAACAAGAAATTTCCTGTCAACAGAAAAACAAAATTTAGAAAGGGGTTTTCTTTTATTATATATGACCCTCCCTGGTAATCCAACACCATTATTCAAATTCTTGCCTACACATCTCATTGTACTGGAACAAGAGAGTTATATTGTGAGGAAATGTGAAGAAAAAAAGCACCACGATTTGCTGAGGCCTTATAGCATTTTTTATTTCCAAAGTGACTTTATGTATAACAAAGAGAACTAGGTATTTTTTACATTATTTTTAGATTTTCCCATTTCCAGAGAAAGAAAGGAAGTTCCAAAGTATAGTAGCTTGTCTAAAACCTCTACTCAAGAAAGAGCCAGATTCAGTTTTCAAATGCAATTTGTCAGGACTGAAATCCAGTGGACACTCTGCTACACCCTTGGATGGGTGCTCTGTGTCTTCACCTGGGATATAAGGGAAGTCCTTTGTCTCTTGGAATGAGACAGTTATACACACACACACTACATTTTTTGTGGACAGAGTGAAGGTGAATATCTCTGTGCTTGCCATACATGTGCCACGAGTCTGGTTGGACAGAGGACTTCATTTTGGAAAACACTGATTGAGTGAGTTGTAGTTTCAAAGCACTGAAAGGCGAAATATTTTTCTTACTGTATTTGTTACCAAGTATCATGACAAAATTAAATATTCACAGGACTATATTTCTAGGTCTGTTTTATATTTCTCTATTCTTCTGCCTGAAGAATAGAGATGAATAAATATAGGTTCATAAATAACTTATTTTAGTTAAATTTATATGTTATGTCTAAATCTTAAACTGAAGCTTTATATGAGTGCATAATATAAAAACAGTTGCTGTTTTTTCTGTAAAATCCTTTTTGAAGATACTGAATTTTTAGGGACCATGTATATAAGGGTGTGTATAATAGTACTAGCATTTAGCAACAGCAGCAGGAACAAAATTCTATAAACAGACTAAACTTCTTATATCGGATAATTACATAACTAAATATTTTCTGGCAAACAACAGGTATTATTTTAGTCAATATGATGGGAGTATTTGTCATTTCCTTTTTTCTGCCCAGTTTTCACTTTCTTTCTTTATGACATATATGATTGCCTCATTAACATCTAGAAAGTAGGCAGGTTAAATTTAGTAAATAAATTACATAAAATTACCTTCATTTGGGAGTTGAACAAGTTGAGATATGGTTAAGATTGTCAAGCTCTGCTTCATCTACCCCGATGTCTTTTTCAGTTTGAAAAGCACAGCAAATGTTGTCCTGCCTCAGAGCTTCCACGTACCGCTCCTTCTGCCTGTAAACCCCCATAATGTTTTTCCCACTCTGATCAGCCACCCTTTGTTGATCACATCTCTTAACTCACATGAAAAGAAACATAAACTCACATCACAATTTTTGCATAATACATTTTTTTAGGTCTTGATTTAATATTTCTGTCTTAGAATTATTTTTACTGTCCAATGAAAACAAGATACCATGCTCCCTCCTCATGTTCTGCTATTCTTTATAACTGTACCTTGTTATTCACTGTATTTCCCAAAAATTGTGAACCATTAGTTAATTTATTCATGTGTTCCTTACTTTAAGCCTCACAAGGATAGGAGATGAATTGTATTTCATCCATCATTGCATCCCAAACACCTAGCCATTCCTGGTACATGATAGTTTCATAAATACTTAATAAATGGTATGAATGAATAACTTTAAATGTGTAAACACTCAAACACATATGTAATAACTTTAAGTTTCCTAAGGCCAAGCAAGTGTGTGTGTGTGTGTGTGTGCGTGTGTATACATATATATATATATGAATATTTTGTATATTATTCTATTGTGCTTTATAACACAACTGGCAAAAAAATAGCAATAATAGATGCTTAATGAGTGTTCATTAAATTAATAAAAATATTCTTTCAGAAATTACTTCTTAAGCCACTTGTAACCTTTAATGAATTCAGATAACCAAATATTTGCAAAACATTTAGAATTTCTATAACCATCTTGAAGTCTTGAACATGAGCTAGCTAAGTCTGAGAATCACAAATGCAAAACACAATGTAAGAGGTGGGTAGATGTGCCCATATTAGGAAAAGGTGCTGTCACTCAGTAGTCTTCAGACCTCCTGCAAGCATTAACATGATTTACCATCAATGTTGCCAACTTGGACAATGAAGAGCAGTATATAACAGGTGTAGCTCTATTTTCATAAATATTCATTTAAATATTCTAAATATTTTTTTAGAGGACTTAGGTTTTTGCTCCAAGTGAAATCAGAAGTTACTGGAGGGATTCAATTTAAAGTAACTTCTTTAAAGGATCATTCTGGATGCTGTGCTGAATATAGCCTGTACTAGCTCGGAATCTATTCCTGTAAGGCAGGTAAAAGATGATAGTCGATTGATTCAACATGGTATCTGTGAAGGTGGTTAGAAGTGGTAAGATTCTAGGATATATTTTAAAGGTAGAGCTAACAGGATTTCATGACAAATTCTCACGTATAAGACAGGAATGAATGAAGATTTCAAGTTTTAAGCTTGATCAATTCTGAGAATGAATGAGCTTTCCATTCTTTATTTTTTCCTACTGTTCTATATAAGAGTTAAAATATTTTGTTCATTAATAGCTCATCCTAAGGCAAAAGTTATACCTGTGAGCCATTTTAATCAGGACTTACTTTTGGGACTTAAAACATTGCTCCTATATTCCTTTTAATTTTGCCTAATTCAGCACTTTACAATTATGAGAGAAAGCTATATTTTAAAATGTCACTGAACAATTTTAAGATTATATTATCATGTTTTCCTTCTCATCTGAAAATATTACTATTGTTAAACATAGAGAATGTCCTTCAGCTTTTTTGTCTTTAAAGCATAAGAAGTGGATATGTCTTGGTAAGCAGATATTACATTTGTGGAGTGCCTTGTCATTTTTTGACACACTTTGATATGTCTTATCCTACTCTCTTCATAACACTAGGAGACAGGAGAGAAGGAAATATGTATAGGAAATTGAAGAATTGAAGTGATTGAGTGACCAACATGAGAACTCCTTCTTTCCCATTCACTAATGTATTTTGATGCAGCTCCAACTGATGAAGAAAAATAGAAACTTGGAGTGCCCTATGCTCATTCAAAGCTAAGTGTCTCATACAAGGACTCAAATTTGACCTTATCTTTATTGTTAATTCCTTAGACAGTTGGATAAACAAATCACTTTATTCATTAGATGTAATTGCATCACCAGAATCATCTAGTCATGTTATCCTCCATTCTCCTATAAACTCCATTTTTTTTTTGATTTTCTCACCTATGGTATCTATTTTCTCCTCTATGCCATCTTTATTCTTTTTTTTTTTTTTTTAATTAAGGAAGATCACTCACAGCCTTCTTGGCCTCTTTCTAAAGTTCTAAAACTTGTTTTGTGAATTGCAATCAAAGAACTACAAAACATAACAACGATCCTATCAGTAGACATGAAAATGCAAGAGGAAAGATGCCATTGTAAGACTCAGCAAGATGTGGTAGATACATCCCTTTCTTTTTCTTGTTAAACCCTGAAGCTATCAAACAGTAACTTAGCTTATTGGCAAGGGTCTGGTGGGAAATCTAACGAGCATTATTAATGAATGCATCAGCACCGGTCACTTCGACTAGTGCACTCATCTTTTAATCTTTCACCCAGCTACTGCAAGCACTTGGGTCCTAAAATTCAGCTGGGGAAATACAATGGGAATTAATAATAATTATATTACCGCAAAGTCTTTCTTTTCTTTAAATTAAGTCATGCAAGTAATTTATACCAATCTCCTTTTCAGAGGCAGAAATGAAGGTTTTTTGTTTGTTTGTTTGTTTGTTTGTTTTGGATTTAAAGATAACCTCAGCATATTTGACAATTCTGGGCAGATATTGGGGTGGGGAAGAAGGGAAGCAAAGTCATTTGAGAAAGTAAAAGACATTCAGCTGCCAACGAAGAAGAAATTTTAATGGATGTAGAAAGAATCGTTTGTAAGAAGTGCAGACAAATGCAAAATGGTATTATTCATAAGTAACATCATTAGAGGCCGTTCTTTCTAACCACTCACACTTCTGAATCATCTCGGGGTTCCCTGACTTCCTACCTCTCTCTACCCTCCAGCAGTGACGCCCCTTCTCCCAATCATTGTTAGGGGTTTAAGTGCCATAGTCAGAAAGAACCTTAGTATCTACCTGCTCCCCCAGCTTGAGTGACACACCACCCACGCCTCCCCCGCACAGCTTGCCTCCTTCCATGGCTCTCGGAGGGAATGCGAAGAGCAGGAGAGGGAGCCCAAGGCTACCCTCGCCTGAACCCCGAAACGGCGAGGCTTCAAGACTCTTATTCACCCACTGAGTCTTTGCCCTGGCCGTTCTGCCAACCCCCGCCGCTCTCTGCAGGAGTAGAAGCCAGCCCAGCGCTGCGCTTCCAGCTGCGTCTGCCCGAGCGCGGCACGTGCTCCCGGCGCTGGCGCGAGAGAGCGAGCGCCACCGCCGCGGGCCCCGCAGCCGTTCTGCCTGCTGTCACCGCTTCCTCCATCGCCGACACTAGCGCTCCAGCTGCAGCCAAGGCCGCTACGGGAGCGCAGGAAGCCCTCGAGGAGCGGCTGGCTGGGGGCGCAAGGCTCAGGGCGCGCACCTGGTAAGCACAGCGCCTTTTTCTTTCTCTTGGCTGTAGTTGCCGCGGATATAGGATACCGCTGGAGCCCCTCCCCCAGCGCAGGGATGGAGAGCAATCAGGCAAGGGGCGGGAGCTGGGGCTGAGAGACCCAGGAGGGCAGGTGGTGGGCAGGTGGAGGACTGGTGGAGCCAGGAACGCTACGAGGTCCTGTAAGTTTAGAAAAGTCACCCTGCAAGGACGTGTGCTGTGTGAATCAGACATAAATTTAAGTCAGGAGCCGGGGCTACCGCGGCATCGCTCCAATGGGAGGTTTATGAAGATCATTTTGCTTTTATTTGCATAAGTGAGGGATTTAAGTGGGCTCGTTTCCATAGAAAACGAACTAAAAAAAAATCAGAGGAGGAAAAAATAAAGATCTGAGCCAAAGGATACGTTTGGATCTGTGTGTGTGTGTGTGTGTGTGTGTGTGTGTGCGCGCGCGTCTGTCATACCGACACAAGTGCATGGAAGGCATGCATTTAGCAAGGGAGAGCGGCATCTCCACCTTTGAGCCCCATTAGGTGTTTGGGGGAGCTAATAAGATCACTTGCTGGTGCTTCACCCCAACAAGAGGCAGCAAAGAAAGGACCCAATTGGGTGTGAATGTCAGTGTTCCATTTCTAAAAGGACTACAGTACTAGGAGGGAGAGGTTTTTCTAGAACTGTGGGTCATGTAAAGATGGTACACCTGCAACTCTGGACCTATAAACTCAAGTTCATGTATTCCCAGTGGAGCTTGGAAGACATGTTTACTCTTGGTTCCTTTATGGAACTTTGGCACAGGATGATCTCTCCCCCCCCCCCCACCCACACACACACACACACACAGAGAGAGAGAGAGAGAGAGAGAGAGAGAAATGAAGAGAGAGGGAAGAAAAGGGAGCTGAAAATGACTGAATAGGCTGAGTAGGGTAGTGGAAAGAACAAGAACAGGTGGATCAGTTTTGGCATCACTGTGATCATTCAGTTCTATGCTAGGTAGTCCTGGGCTGGTCTGTAGAGAAATGTGACCTTGAGCAAGCCCCTTAACCTTCATGTACTCAGTTTCTTTACTAAAAAATGTAGAGGTTCTTCTGCATTTGGGGACATGAAGTTCCCATGCAGTGGTGTCTATATATGTGTTTGAGGATCTGCATACTAAGAAGTAAGAACACTCATAAGATGTGGATAAAGAAAGCTTTAGGGGATTCTTCCTCAGTGTATTAAAGGCAGTTGGCAAGATCCTGACTGTGCTGTGGGGATAATGCAAGCTGAGAGGTCTGTGGAAATGAATGAGGAAAATCAGACATACAGCCTGCATCTCAATGAATTGGAGTTCTGAGAGCTGTTTAGAAAGGTTCAGATCCAGAGAACCTAAAGTCATAAAGTCATATGATATTATTAAGGTTAGCATTGAGGAAGAAGGTTTGACGGCAAAGAAAATAAGTGCCAATTCAGTTTAAAAATTAGGCAGTCAGGGTGGCAAGAAGAAGGCTTTAGAGTAAAACATGAATGCAGTGTAATCTGGGCAGAGGGGTTAGGAAGAAGAAGATAATGGATATTCCTCCTGAGACAAGGATGTCTATACTCCTAGGAGACAACTGGGACCTACCATGTCCTTGACACTTCTTCCACCTGTTCGAGGAAGGCACAGGTAGCCTTTCTCACTCAGTACAGAATTATTCTTAGAATTTAGGAATTTGTATCACAGGTGCTGATATACGATGGTAAACATGTGAAAACTAAGTCCTGGGAGTGCCTCCAGCTCCCTTGCCATGTGAGCATCTGTTTGCAGAGCTGGTCTACCCATCCAGATTCACCCAGGAGTCTGTGTTCCTAAAGGAACTCACTGTGCCACTTGGTGGCACCAAAAAGTTGCGCAAAGAACTCTGTTCTCTATAAATACAAACTACCACCCCTCCCTCCTCCGCTCTCTCCCCTTCCCCCCTTCCCCCCTTTCTCAGTAGCGGGGAGATTGCTGCACACGCCGCCCTCAGCTCGGCTGTTCTGCGCACGCTGAGTGGAGGGGATGAGCTTGAGATCATCTTGGGGGGGGGGAAGCCGGGGACTGGAGAGGCCGGCTCTGCCCCGCTGATCCCCGTGGCCCAACTTTTCGGGGGGCTAGCTAGACCGAGTCTCACTGCTCGCTGCGCAGCCAACAGGGGGGTAAGCTTGCTAAGTGTCTGTGTGCCCAAGTGTCCCCTGGCCAGAGAAGGATTGAGGATCTATTAGCTTGCTGAGTAGCTCATAGTTTGGTTTGAGGGAGGGGGACGCGGGTGGAGCGGGGGTGGCCAAAGCCGACAAGATGCAAGTGTGCTCCATTTGCAAACAGCCTTCCTTAAACCTGTTGGGGGAAAAGGCGCGAGCAATGGGGTGAAGCAGGGAAGAACTGCAATGGTTGGAAAGGGGATTCTGCATGCCTTCGGATCCGAGTTCCCGCTCTCTAAGACCAGGTGCGCGTAGTTTCGAATGCAGTGTGCTCCCGCAAACCACCCGAGGGCTCGGAATTGTGAGAAGCAAAGGTGGAGAAGGAAAGAGGACGGAGAATTGCTTTTCAATAGACCGGTTAGCGGCCGCGCGTGGCGCCTGCTGCAGGAAGAGGGGGGACAGCGGGTGGTGCTGAAAGCACATCTCTTTCACTCAGGCTCTGTTGCCTCTCTTTGAACACCAGCCGGAGCCCTCCCGCTCTTTCCTTTCCCAGGGACTTATCTTTCCCCTCGGACACAAAGCCTGCTAGTTGCCCCAAGGCGGCAGCGTGAGCGGCATGCCAAGGAGGGAGCCCAGGCTGCAGCGGCTTAGGGAAGAAAACCCAGGGCAGGCCCATGAGTGCGAAGGCTGGCCGGTGGTGGCCGGAGCCTAGCCTGCATTAGGACCTCTAGAGGGAAGCGACGGGTCCGCCTGGAGGGCTCTTTCACCTGTGCTCGAATTTACAGCTGCCCTCATTTCCCTTCAGAGCAGTTGCTGTGTGGAAGGGAAATTTAGGAGAGGATAACAAGCGCCTGTGCTGATTTAGACTTAATCTTGACGCTGCCTTAGCTGGACTGTAACATCGAGTAGCCAGGCAGATAGGTTCTCCAATACTTTACTTTTCAATAAGAAATTGATACAGATCAGTGAGAAGGAACTCCTTTCCATCTTCTTTTCCATTCCCTACATGGTATTTTATTGTTCCGAGTTTCTCAAGACAAAGCTAGAGCTAATTTGTGTCTCTAATGCTGGCCACTGGCCGATTGAAGCAGCCAAAGGTGCATTGACCGGGACTACGTGCAGCCCTTCCGCCAGTGGGGCATAAGCTGGGGTTTTCTGTGGAAGCCCTAGTTGCATGGCATTCTACTGTCAGCTATGGAGTGCTCAGGTATGCTACCTCTTGCTAGGTGTGCTTGTTGCTGTTTTCTTTATGGAGAGCAGGGAGTTTTCTCCTTTAATTTCTCAATTGCCTCCATGTAATCACACATTTAAGAATCAGTTGTGTCTATTTCTGTCCTTTATGCATGTTTATTTTCATTTAAAACGGCAAGTGGTTTGGGGCTTGAAAATACTGCTTTCTGAACTCATTGGGTGAGTAGTGTGCGTTCCATCAAATTTCCAGCCTTCTCCCGCTGAAACCTCGTCAGCACTCTGGACAGATCTTTCAAGGTTTCTTAGGAGAAAAATGTGCCTAACACTTCCTAAATAACAGCTTCTTTTAAGAGAAAAAGCTTTCCCTAGTCATTTACACTCCACATGATAAAATATACAATCCAGATATTTTAATTGCACCCCCTAGAGGTTTGTGCTATCACACGGCAATGTTTTGGCTGTGGGCTGTATGCTCACAAAAAGCCCAAACTCTTCAATGTTCACTTATGAAAGGATGTGTTGAGATTATTTGGGGGGGAAGGGGGGGTGGCATTTGAATAATGCAAGTTTTTCACTTTACTTCCATAGATAGCCACAGGCCTTGACTATCACTTTATAGTATACATGATGGACATGATGGCAAATACCCAGGGGAAAATTGAAAAATTCACTCACAACCGGCACAAACTATCCAGACATTAGGAATACTTTATTAATTATATGCCATTTTTAGTTTTGGCTCTGATTATTGACATTGTTTTGTTTCATGATAAAATACATTTTTTTCATTAAAAATGCTGACTTTTGTGATGAAAGCATTTTAATAATTCTATTTTATTTCTTTCTAAAACCCATTTAATATCTTATAGGAGTCTTACTATATTGTCTTTTACAGAATGATTATTTTAGTTAGAGAAACAAAATTAAGTACCAGTAAAAGGTAAGTGATACTACAGGTAGAAATTGTGAGATGAAATTAATCATAAAAATATTTTACTTATTTGTATACCAGTTTTACCCAAGGTTTTCTGTCTCATGGGATAAAGACAGACATATCCAAATATTCTATCTTATACATTCTTACTGTATTACATATGTACATATGAGGCATTTTTATGTATATCTCAATTTAGATAGGTATATCTATCTACCTTTTCACATATGTTGATGTACATATGATATATGGTAAAGCTGATACGGCTTGTTTAAAGGTTGGATTTACTAAAGATGAATTATGACAAAGCAAGAAGATTCTGTAGTTTAGAAATATTTGCTATTTTTCATATTCAGAGAAATATTCTAGTCTTGAAGCATCATTTACTTGTCATTTTAGTCAGTGAGTGAAACTTAGGAGAACATGAGAAGACAGAAGCATCAAAATAAATATTTTTAGTTTATGATATATTTATATAACCCCAGAAAAGAAACTTTAATTTTGATTTTTGAATGTTCAATTATTTGTAAATCAGATAATATCTTGGTATTCCTTTATCTTAGTTGTTTAAAATGTGTTTCTGAAGAACCTTAAGGAATAGGTTTTCTTCCATTTCCTTTAAATTCATAGAAAGGAGATGAAAATCTATATTTTACCAGTTCTAATTATATTTGAACTATATATGACTTTTGTCAGAAGGGTCACGAGATGAAAGTCTTGGTTCACACTC